CCTTGTGCTGGCTGGGAATACAGAAGGAATCACCAAGTTGCACACTTCCAACGGGTGCGCTGTAATAATAGGTTCATTGTATCTCCATAAAGCTGTTATTACCCCCCAAAACCGGGGGGGAATTCCCACTGCTGATATACATTAGGAAAAGTGGGTAATACCTTTTTCCAATCTATAACAAGCTTAAAAAGGTACCCTCCCAAGAATTTATCTTAATTTAAATAAAAAACGAAAAAACAAACAAACAAACAAACAAAAAACACCACCTTTCACCGCGTTTGTTCCCCTTTGGGCCCTCTCTGGTCCTCCTGCCGGGGTCCTCCTTCTCCTTTGGTCCCCTCCAGACTCACCGAAAGTCTTGGGTCCCTGGGCGCCCAAGGGCACGGGGCCGCGACGACGGGGCGGGCCCGGGGGCGGCCGCTGTGACCTGGGGCGTGTGCAAACACCGCCCTCCGCGGCCACCGATAGGTCCCACCCCACCTTGGAGACCTGCGGGGCGGGGGCGGGGAGAAGCTGCGCAGGAGGCCGCGCGCGCGGCCCGGGAGGCTCCGAGGAAGCTCGGGGAGGCCGGGGAGGCCGGGCAGGCTCCAGGGAGCCCGAGCAGGCTCGGAGGAGGCCAGGAGCGGGATGTGGGCGCCGAGCTGCCCGCCGGGGCCCGCGGGCTGGGACCGCCGCAGGGTGGGCGCCCGGCTGCGCGCGGCGCTCGCGGGGCTGCGGGAGCTGCAGGGGCTGCGCGCCACACAGCAGGCGCGCGTGCGGGGCGCCCTGGCCATGCAGTCCCCGCCAGGCCCCGCCGCCCCCCAAGGCCCCGCGCGCCCTGAGCACCCCCGCGGCCCCCGCGCGCACGAGCTGCGGTTGGAGGCGGCGCTGGCGGCGCTGCAGGAGCAGCTGGTAAGGAGCGCGGGGCCCCGGGGGTGCTGGGCGCGCTGGGCGGCTGGGGGCCGGGCCACCTGGTGCGGGCAGCGCGGTGGCCGGACTGCCTCACTGATAGAAGGGGACGCAGTTCGGGTTCGGATGGGACGGCCGCGGAGGCCCGCGGCACGCGGTGGGGATCCGGACTCGGAAAGGGACACCGGGGCTGCCCCGTGGCGCTGCCTCCTGCTCCCGCGGACGGGCTCTGAGCGCGCCCTCCTGCTAGACTTCCGGGCTGCTGGGGAGGAGCGGCTCAGTCGGCTTCCCGGGGCGGGGGCTGCTTGGGGTCCTGGTGTCGGACCCCGGGTGCAGGTGGCCCCACCGCGCACGCAGGCTCTGGAGCGACACTGCCCGCGTGCTGGGCGCAGCCCGAATTGTCCCCGTACATCAAACCCGAATTGCTCAGGTTAGATGGGGTCGGGTGGGTTGTAACAAAATGTCGAGGAAAGCACGTTTCCCAGGAAAGCTTCAGCTCCAAAGTGTAACCTGACCTGCAGAATGAGGCCTGTCGGCTGAGTCCCAGAGGCTGAGTCCCAGAGTGGTGGAACCGGGCACGCTCTTAGGGCGGCTTCACCTGTGTCTCCTGGCTCCCCAGCCTCCTCCAAACGCCAGCTCCTTCTCAGGGGCTTGAAGACACTCCGACGGTTGTTCCCGGGTTTTAATCTGATGCGGGCCTTCTCTTCCTGTATCGGAAACAACTCGAGAGTTTTCCCAGCATTGCAGTACGTTTTAAAGGAAAAATGAAAAGGCTCTATGGGAAGGTTCATATCCGATGGCGTTCATTCTAGTCCTCTTTAGAATTCTTTAAATCTGGAAGTTCAGATCTGTTGTGTTTAGAAGCTGCTGGCTGTTCTTGTAAAGCGGGCTGGACGTTTCCGCCGCCTTCCTCTCTGCCCAGCTCCCTCCGGTGACCGGCACGTTGGGTGCTTCTGGATTCCAGAACCTGGAAGATGCCTCCCGGGACTCCGGACCCACATTGCAAAAAAACAGGCGGAAGGTGGAGGGAGCAGAACCTGGGGCTGACCTCGCAGACTGCTCTCCGCCTGTGACAGCCGCCCGCACAGGGCAGGGGCCAGCCGTGGGGCGGGATGGCACCTGCGGTTTACCCGCCCTCCCTGGTCTGCCCCGGTTCCCCGCGCGTCTGCACCCAGGGCTCCGTGGCACCTGGCCGCCCGCAGAGATGCGTGGCTCTGGGGAGAGCCGGGAGCAGCTGAGATGCAGCCCTGAACTCGTCCACTGGCACGAGCACAGCTGATGATTTACTCGACTTCAGGGATGCACCAATCAGACTTGCGAGTCGTCAGCCTCTAATTACTAGTAGCCTTTGGAAGAGATCAAACAGGTTTTTTTGTTTAATTTTTTTTTAATGTGGGGACCAGAAGGAACACGCAGACTTTGTCTTCAAACTTTGTTCTTGGCGTGGATTATGTGATCAAAAGAGAAGAACTGAATTTGTGTGACATCAGCTGGGGCTTAACACCTCCCTGTTTTCTTGCAGGGAAAACCCAGGAGTAGGGCCAGAACCGTGGAGAAAGCGTGATCCACGGGCCTCCGGGCCAGGGCAGCTGCCGACCGGCAGCGCCGCTCACTCCGCCCCCCACCCCCCCCCACGCGGGCAGCTGGGCGTCCGCGCTCGGGTGAGAAGACGGGAAGGGCTTGGATCTGCCCCCGCAGCCTTGTCGTGCACGAGTCCCCGGGTCGATGAGCGGAGCGGTTCTGGGGGCCTGCACCGCACTCGGGGCTGAGCACTTAGCACGGTGACACGGACCGAAGTAGGCTGCGCCTGAAGTCACAAAGAAGCATGCAGTAGGCGCTTCGTAGGTGTGCGATGAGCGGATACAGGAGCGTCTTCCATTGCTCTGCTGGGAGAGAACTTTCCTGTCTCCCTGTTGGAGCTGACGATGCCCCGTGACCCTGAGCGGGGCAGCTGCTCCTCGCTGGCGGGTCCTGGGCTGATCCGTGGATAACTTCAGGGAGACCTGTCATCCCTGAGAGGCCGCGGCCATTCCCGCTGCGCAGGGGTGAGGTTCCGGCGACACCCACGTCGCCTGCGATGTCCCAGGGCAGGCCGGAGGCTCCACCCCCACCCTCGGGGGCTGCCAGCGGCACTGGGAGAGGTGCCCCGAGGTGCCATGAGGAAGGCCCCTGGGGAACCCGCCGCGACATCTTACCCCGAGGAATTTCCCAGGAGCTGGCTCGGCGGGTCGTGACATGTCCTGAGAGCGGCAGCGCCACGACTGCTTTCCGCGGGCAGGTGCTGGCATTAAGGACAGCAAGAGCCAGCGGGCTGCCTCTGCCCGGGTCAGCAGGAGGTCGGCTGCGTTCCTGCTTCCTGGGCCTGCCCACTCGCTTCCTGAACCCGCTTCCTGAACCCTCCGGGGACGAACTGGCTCAAGGCCCCCAGTGGGGGCGGGGCGTCCCCGACAGTGCCAGGCCTCCGTCCTGTTCCCACGCGGCCCATCTGTGCCCCTGGCCTTTGCTGGTGGTCGGTGGACTTCTCGTGCAGTCTGGTGGTCTACGGGCCCCCGGGGTAGCTGCGGCTGTCACCTGTGTCCTGTTTCCTGTGTAGACGCTCAGCTTTTGAGGAGAGAGAAGGTGTTTCGGACGCCGGGGGTGTGTTCTGAACTCGAGGGCAGGTTTCCTTTTTGTCCTTTGGCTCTGCCGTGAAGGCTTGAGGAGAGCAGAACGCTGACTTGTGGATGGAAACCGAGGACAAACAAGGGGAAACCAGATGGTTCTCTTACGGTACAGACAGCAAACATCGCAGAGAAAGGATAAGCCGAGTCTGTTTTTAACGACGATCTCTAGAATGCCCTTCTCAAGCCTCTCGTGTTCGTCTGTTCCTAAGAACCCTTAGCGTTCCCCTGGGAAGCTTGTCCAGATGCGCAGTCCCAGGGGTGACCAGGATCCCCAGAATCTGCGTTTACGCTCAGGCAATCCCACCTCCCGGGGACTTGTGGGTGTGCATTGCCTTCCCCCTCGGCCCCAAACACAGCCTGGGGGAATCCTGACTCCGTACACCGCCGTGATAGTGAGCTTGGATGCTGGGGACGGAGGTGGGGACGAGGGGCACCCCAAACGTGCCGGCTGCTCTGACGGGGGTGCCCGTGACTGCCACTGTCCTGGTCCCCCAGTGCCCATGTGCTGGTGACATCTTCTCTGCAGAGGAAATACGTGGGGAGAGATTGTCCATGGCCGGCTTCAGTGGCTCGTGCTCTCTCCTGGTCACAGACTGAACTTGGGCTCTTAGCACAAAGTTAGACACCAAGGAGTAAATGAAAAGCAGAAACATGAAAACCCCAAGTGAGGGATGGGGAAGGGTTAGCGAGGACAGTGTCATCCCAGACAGCGAAGCCCCTGCCTGAGCTGGCGGGTCCCAGGGACACGGTAAATCGTCGGTGCACCCCCGAGCCTGTGCGTCTGTGACCTCTTGACGTCAATCAGGAACCGCCCACCGAAGGCCTGGCTGGCCACACAGTAGTCACAGAGCAGCCATTCTCAGCACAGACACACAGAGGGGACTCTCTTTTTTGGAAATCGGCTCAGAGGAGCCCTGGGGGCTCAGAGGTGCCCTCCTCCTCCAGAAGGACGAGAACATCATGATTTGGAAGAGAAGCAGTCAGATTGCTTTGTAAGCATCGAGCTGTGACCCCACAGAGTAAGGCACAGCAGCCCTATTTAGGACAGGGAAGAAAAAGTCATTCGCAGTGAAAACACACACTGGCCCCTTTGCCTGAATCTAGTGTTCTTTGTGGAGGGGTGTTGGCGCGAAGCCCATCTTTGCACACCCACTGGCTCTCTCTGCCGCAGCTCTTGACACGGTCGCGTTTTCCTTGGTGAAAATATTCAGAGCAAGAGGCCGCATGTTCAGGCTGGACTGGATGGTTCGGGAATTAGAAGTTTTTATTAAATCCAGGACTGGTTTTGGCTGTGATACGTTCACAGATTGTCTTATGGCGGTAAGACTCTGTTGCTGTGACACGTGGAGTTTGCTCTCGGAGCCGTGGATGTGGTCCCGGAGCAAAGGGGAGTTGGGCATGGTGGCCCGGGGATGGTGACCTGGCATGCACCAGGCACTGTGTCGGGCCATGGGCTTGTCACCGTCTTCACTTCTCTGGCGCTGGATCTGAAGGCTGTGCCACGCGACCCCCTCGTAAGAATTGGCAGTTCCCGCTTCCCTCCTGGACCGCAGCCTCGTGGTGCTGAAATTACAGAGATAATTATGGGGTTCAGGGGACTTCCTCCCCTGTGATATTAAATTTGAAACACAGTCATTTTCTTAAACAGGGTGAACCACATAATTACATCCATTCATTATTTGCCTTAAACTTAATTGTTGATAAAAATAAGAAATTTATGCAGCAGGCCCTGAAAACGGTGCTGCTTGACGATGGAGAGGGGCGTCCGCATCCGTGAGGCACTCGTGCTAGTTCTGCGTCTTTGTTTTTTACGTGTGGGTGTGCAAATGCGCATTATGGACAGTCAGCGTGTACACATACGTGTATTATGTGATCACACACAGACGTGCGGCTGATGCTGTGATAACCCGTATATGCCTGAGCCCGGAGAGGGTAGAGCCTCAGGGCGGAGCCAAGATGTGAACCTCTAAACCCAGAAGATTCTGGGGCAGATTTCCAGGCTCACTGAGTGCAGGCACTGTCCTCTCCTGCTGGGCCTCTGCCCCTGTCCCTGAGGGTTCCACAAGGCCTGGAGGTGACACCTGTGAAGGGGGAATACGCAGAAGGGGGCCTCTTTCTCCCTCGGGGACTTTCCCATGCCCTGAAAAGTCCGGGGGCTGCACAGGGCCTGCTGAGCAAGAGAAGGAGGCACACGAGTGTGGGAAGATCGGTTCTTACATAAGCCTCGAGAACAGCAGCCGAGCGCGTCCTCTGGGCCACATGTAAGAGCAGGGGCCGCCTTTGACCCTGAGCTTGTGCCCTGTCAGTCTCCTCAGGAAGACATACCTCGTGGAGAACTGCTGACGCTTCCAGAAGCCTGCCGTGGCGGCCGGCAAGCAGGTCGGCGGGGGCAGGGCCTCTTTTCCTCTGGCGACCAGAGGGCCAGAGCTTTGGCTCAGGGAAGTGGAGAGGAGCTACCAGACTTTGGAGCCAGAGCCGCGGACGTTGGGAGGGTACATCGTGTGCCCAGTGGTCACTTCCCAGGGGCATCAGGCTTACTCTCTGCGCTTGGACAGCTTTGTGTCCCACTTTCCCCCCAGAACCGCTTACGACGCCAGGACGTCGGCCTGAAGACCCACTTGGAGCAGCTGGACCGGCAGATCAGTGAGCTACAGCTGGACATGAGCGGACCCTGCGGCAGGGCGGCCGATGGTGACAGCAGGCCCAGCTCAGGTAGGCCGCGCGCCGGCGGGCAGTGCTGCTGCAGAGGGGCCCCTTGCCCTCTGGGGGACCCCACACCTTGGGGGCTGGTGCTGCGGCGGGGGTTCCTCCTAGGCTCTCAGGCCCAGCTCCGTGAGCACAGCCCCCACCCAGAGAACCTGTTCCCAGGGAGCACTAACTATGCACCTCTTCCTTCCTCCTCCCTGAATGTGTTTCTGGAAAGAGGAGCGTGTGCCCAGTGTGCGTTTATGGGGGGCTTTTCGCTGGGAAAGGCTTCCGGTGGAAGAACCCTCCATGAGTGTCTCCCCTTCTCTGGGCTGACACACGTTCCAGGCTCTGTTCAGGTCGGAGTAACAGGGAGGTGGTAAGGACCTGTTTTAGGAGATGATAGTCTACAGGTTTATGGAATCTCAATTCTGGGTAATTTATCAGAGAAGGTGGGCAGGACACTGTCCCCTTGCCTGCTGCCCGTGTGTGCCTTGGTTTAGAGCTGCAAGGAGATGGCTCTGGAGCCCTTCCAACTCTCCTGGTTCAGGGCATGTCATCCCATGTGCCCGGAGCCTGGTGCACACACAAACCCAGGAGACCGTGGACAGCACTGTCTGCTGTTTCTCAGTCTTTTTGTAAATGTGCAAAACCATGGCTTGGTCTGGGTATGCAACGCATGGAGTGGGGTGTGGGCTAGAGACCCTTGTGTGTTGTCCTTCCTCTGACGGCTGCAGGCACCTGGGAAGGGGGGAGAAGAATGCCAGCAGCCTGGCCACATAGGGAGAGGGAAGCCACTTGCCGGAATGGGGGGGCGAGCAGGTGGTGGGCTCCCATGGACTGTGCTCACAGGGCGACAGTAGACAGTAATGGGGAGTCCCCAGGTGACTTCTCCAGTGCCTGCGTGCTGAGATCCTGATCCCCTCTTAGCCCTGGGGCCGGCTCGGGCAGGAAGGGGGCTGCTGCGCCAAGGTCACTGACTGCCTCCGCTCACCCCATCTAGGCTTCTACGAGCTGAGTGATGGCGGCTCCTGCTCCCTGTCTGCATCCCGCACATCCGTGTGTAGTGACCACATGTACTCCTCCCTGGGCACTTTGCTGCCAGCCGACCCTACGGCCAGGCCCGATGCGGGAGACAGCCGGCCCCGGTCAGCCGACGAGACCACTGTGCACGGAGCGCCCCTGCCCGCCTGGAGACCCCTGGCCACAGAGGAGGGCATGTCCCGGCCCAGGCCAGTGTCTACAGGTAAAGGAGAGCCGGGCGGGGTGGGAGGCCCCCTTCCAGGTGGCGGGGGCTGCTGAGTTCAGAGCCAGGAAGCCCCATGTATACTTGGTGCCAGTGCCAACCCCACAAGTACCACTCTAGGCGTTTTTGGTTTTGGGATGGAGACAGGAATACTACTGTTCATTGCAGCAAGTCTGCTGTGATAAAAAGCATTCTTTTCTTATAATTTAAGTGGATATCGGGAAGTTATTTTGCAAATCCTTCTACAACCCTTACACACCCTGACTGGCACCGTCTGTCATCGGAATGGACACCGCACCCAGAGTGACCCAAACCTCAGATGAACGAGGGCATCAAAACAATCGATTTTGCGTCCAGGCTTTACCTTGCAAGTTGTGGCAGAGAGGGGAGACGGGAACAGGTGACGGAGTGAGCATGCAAGCGAGAGCCCTTTCTGCAGGCTCGTGTCCCAGCGTGGGTGTGCACAGGCTGCTGCTCCCACCGGCCTCCCGCCCACACCTGCACAGGGCGCCACGCAGTCGTGATGCTGCGTGGGAGGTGAGACCAGGGCCGTCCTGGGCTCTCCCCACTTCACCTGTTTGCTCATTTTTCTCGTTCCCAGGTGATCTTGGAAGAGTCCTGCCGTCCGAGCTGGTGCTCCAGAAAGCCAGTGCAGATCCCACTTCGGTTCTCTGCCCTGGGATGGACCTCCCAGCCCCCGTGCTGGACCCCAAGTACCAGTGTGACCTGGTGTCCAGGGGAGGCAGGGAGGTGTACGCGTACCCCAGCCCCCTGCACGCTGTGGCTCTGCAGAGCCCTCTCTTCCCTCTCCACAAGGAGGCCCTGCCGAGTCCGGGCCACTCGCCCCCCAGGGAGCCTCTTCCCAGCCCAGCGGCCCTGGGCTCCATCCAGACCAGACCTGTCCTTGAGGCTGGCCCAGCTGCGGCCTATATAGACAGGCTGCTGAGGCTGCGCGGCCGAGGGATCCCCCTGAGGGGCAGCGTGGGTGAGCAGGGACCTCCAAGACGTGAGGTGCCCCTATCCCCGCCTGTGCTTGGTGGCCAGAGAGCAGAGAGGGAAGGTGGCCTGGACAAGCTGGTGTGCACCCCAGAGAGAGCAGGGATGGGTGGGATGGCTCAGAGGGGGGACACCGGCAGGGATGGCCTCGAGCAGCGGGGACCTGAGCTCCTCACAGCCACCCCTCACCCCAGGAGCCTTCCAGAGGAGGGACCCGAACCCCAGAATGGCTGCGTCCGTGGGGAGACCACACGGGGCTCCCCTCCGCTGGGACATGGGCCAGCCCCGTCTCCCCACCTACGGGCTCTCAGCTGCCAGGACAGCACAGGCTTGTTGCCCACCAGGAAGGGGGGCAGGGAGAGCCCCGCGCTGGCCCCAGGCCTCTGTGCCCACCCCCCGTTTGCTGACCATGGGGCTTCCCTTCTGGGGCTGAACACAGGCCACCCCAAGACAAAGGCTGTGAAGGTCAAGAGAGGGGCCACCGACAAGGTCCAGCCATCCCCCGGGAGGGCCCTCGCAGCCCCCCTGCTGCCCCCCGAGTGGGGACAGGGTCTCGGGAGGAGGCCCGTGCCGGCAGGGGCAGCGCCTAGCCGGTCCTGCTCTGAGCCCAGACTCTACCCCGTGCCCCTCCTGGTGCCCCTGCTGGTGACCCGACGGGAGGGTCGCCGGGCCCCCGCGCAGGCCTTGTTCCCCTTGGAAGTGGCGGCTGGTGGGCAGGTGCAGAAGAAGCAGCGGAGGTGGCTGTCCTCCGTGGAGGTCGCGGGCAGCTTGGGGCCCCCCAGGCCAGCGGTGAACCGAGCCAGGGGCCCGCAGCCGGTGTGTGCCCGGGCCAGGCCCAGGCTGCCCCGCCAGGATGCCCGGGTCAGGAGTGAGTCAGAGGGCTCCGAGCCGTCGGCTAAGGGCGCCTCCCTGCTCTACTCCACGGTGGCCGAGAGCAGTGAGGACGGGGCCAGCGACCACACCGCCAGCCGCTTTGGAGACCGGGAGTCCAGCAGCAGTGACTCAGAGGTCGGGGCCTGGCCTCGGGTGTGTCCCCCGCAGCCCTCGAGGACCCCAGGCGCCCGCAGGCCAGCCCTGCCCCCGATGCCCAAGCTGTGCCGCATCAAGGCCTCCAAGGCCCTGAGGAGAAAGATCCGAAGGTTCCAGCCCGCAGCGCTCAGGGTCATGACCGTGGTGTGAGGCCACGGAAGTCGGCAGAGAGCCTCGCCGGCTGGGCACGGGCCAGAGGCGTCCCCGGGAAGGCCGTCCTCTGCTGAGTGCGGGCGAGCACGCAGGCCCTGGCTAAGGCCGGCTCTCACTTCCCTGGCTGCCCGCCCTGTGCTGCCAACGTGGATTGTCTCCCGAGTCACTCAGAGGGGTGAAGTGGGTCCCTGGGCTCGCCCCATGGACCAGCTCTGAGGAGCGTTTCCCTGCCCGGGGGAGACTGCGGTCCGCCCCCCCACCTGCCCCCCGTGGCCTCGGTGTCAGCATCCTCCCGGGGCAGATGGTCCCACCCAGACTTCCCCGGTGTCTGCCCTGGGGTCCTGGTGGTGCTCCCCTACCTGCAGCCCCGGGCGGCTATCCCAGCCCTGTTGTGCATGGCTGGGCACCGGGGTCATCCCAGTCCTTCTGAACCATGACTCCCAGGAGGCATTCTCCCCGAGGGCCGGGTGGAGGACAGTGCCGGAGAAATTGGGGTGTGAATCCCGCGCTAAGTCCTCACCGGCCAGGACACGCAGGTTACGCCGGTACCGTCACCGGCCCGTCTCCTCACACGCTGCTGCTCCTTCTTGCGGCTCTCGGTGGGCTCCCAGACCAGCCTGACCCCCCGCCTGGGTGCCCCCCCAAAGGTGGGAAATCGCCGATTCTAATACACAAAACGGAGCATGAAAGCGTCGGCTCAGTCCGTGGACGGTGCGACTCTTGGTCTCGGGGTTGTGAGTTCAAGCCCTGAGCTGGGTAGAGAGATGACTTATAAATAAAAAATCTTAAAAAAGAGTGTTTTTGAAAAAATAACTTTTGGTGTTTACTCTTTGAAGAAACTGCCCTGCAACTTTTCTGGGATTTTTAGGGGAGCAGCCTGCCGAGTACGGCAACATTTTTAATCCTGAAGCAGCTCTACCCAAATCCTTCCCTGGCCACAGAGGGCTTCCCCGGGCCTGGGCCAAAAGAACTAGTGGGGGCGTCTACACTGGGGAACCTGGGGTGCCGGGGACCTCAGCCCCTCCGCGGGGCTCAATGCACGGTTGTCCAGAATATGGGAAGGGAAAAAACGCAAGAAAGCCAGACAAAGTGTTTGTAGATGTATGGCCGTGCCTGTAACAAGCAGCTGGTTTCGGGACGCAGCTTCAAAAGCAGCTGGCGTCTTGGAACGGAGCGGCGGCAGGTCGGGGTGGTGACACGGGGCAGGACGCACGGGCTGCGTTGTGCGGAACCTAGAGGACACGGCCATTCCACACAGACAGAACTCGGGCCTTCCCCGAGGCTGAGTGGAATTCCCACCCGTGCTTCCCAGAACCTGCCCACAGCAGGAGGGAGGGTCTCCTCAGCTTTCCCGAAGCTGCTCCAGCAATTGACTCCAGCCCCCTCTGACGGGGTTTCACTGGAAAGGGTGTCACCCAAGATGTTTTCGGAGATGTGCTTCTCAGCCATGTGGCACACGAGGGGATGGGGACCCGGGTTTTCCGGGGTTCGTGGCGGGCAGGTGCGGAGACCGGGTTTCTTTCTGTCCACACGGTGTGCCTGGGCATCCAGGCAGGCCGTTCTGGAGAGACAGCAGTGAGCTTCTGTCCATGGGGCACGCTCCGCTCCCCGACGTCCTCCCTGGCACGTGTTGGGGCCTCAGATGCTCTCGTCAGCAACTGCAGACTTCCCCCCTGTCATCCGTGGTCTCCCCCGTCCTGGCACCGCGGGGACAGGACCACCGGGCTGCGTGTCTCCTGCTGGGACGCCTGGACTCTGAGCTGAAGGGGAGGCCTTGGGTTCGGGACCCCCGGGACTGTCAACCCAAGACAGGAGGTGACGCTAAAAAGAACGAAGGCCTTATTTGGGGTGTCAGGGGCAGCACAGGAGCATGGGTCTAGAGTGTCCAGAAACGCATCCCACTCGTGTGGGAGAGCAAGGGGTTTTTACGAGAAAGCAGGAAGGGGTGCTCTGTGATCTCAGTAACAAAGCGAAAACTGCCGATTTGGCGCTGACGAGTGGTCAGCTTTGCCTCTCCCGCTGCCGGTGACCATCTCATCCTAACGGGCTCCAGACACCCCGTAGCCGTGGCCTCAGTGGCACGGAGGGTCCTCGCGACCACAGATCAGTGTCTCTCTTGCTCTGCTCCCCTCCCCTCCCCTCTCTCTCTGTCTCTGTCCCTCCCCCTCTCCTACGGAGACGCAGACACACAGCCTGCCCGAGGCCACAAGCAACCCGCTTGCTACCCGCTTGTGCTCGCGTTTACTCTCAGCGGGTTTGGAGGGAAGAGAATGAGTTCTCTATGCGGCAGGGCCTCGTCCACCGGGGGCCCAGGGGCCTTGACCTCCCGGGACACAGCCCTGCCGCACCGTCAGCGGCCACGAGGCCCAGCTGTCTTCATGACCTCCCTGGGTCTGCCTCCTTCTCATCCCTTGGGTTCAGCTTGAGGAACGAACCCACGGTGCTGGACGGGGCCTGGGCGCTGGGCTCACCACGCCGGGGTCCTGTCTGCGGAGCGGCCCCCAGCCGGGCGGTCGGGAGACAGCTCCGGGCAGGGAGAGGGCAGAGCAGACGCCCCCCTCCGGGCCAAGGAGCCTGCGAGGTGCCCGGCCCTTCCGTGAGCATCCCCCAGGCACCACCGGCAGGACGGGCTCTGCCACAGGCGGGAAACAGGGCACGGGGCGCTCTGGGGCAACGCTTGAGAAGAGTTAGGATTCTGGAAGTCGGTGATAAGGAGCCAGCCCGAGCCCTGACCCCACCAGCCTACATTCCCGAGGAGTCTCTACAAATTCGGAGAAGGGCTCTCGGGGATGCAGATGGCCCAGGGCTCCGTGTGCGGCGTGAGCACCCCCCAGGCTCGCTGCAGCAAACCGCCTACCGCTCGGTACTGTCTGTTTCCAGCAGATGTGGTCCTAACGGCCCAGGGAGTGGCGGCGAAGCCGGAGGGACACCCCACCCCCCGCAGCACCCGCGGCCTTGTGGGGGGGTGTTGAAGACAGACGAGCTATTTCACTTTCCCTAAAGAATTTCTTAAAAAGGACAATTTGGATCGTTAGAAATCATTTAATCATTTGTAACTTCGAGCATGATTAAAATACAAATACGTTAGACAAAATCAAAAAAGAATGAACCAGGTTCCAAGGGTCCAAGTCAAGCTAAGGTAGAAACTGAATATGTGAGTCATTAATTCATAAAAATTAGGAAAAAAGTGTATTTCTGCACCTTGCGTCATTTGAGGAAACTGAAGTTTTGCCTTTTGTTATGGACTGAATGTCCGTGGTGTGCCCGAGCTTGGAGGGCCCTTGAGCAGGGGGCTGGGGGAGAGGGTCAGGCGAGCCCGAGGTGGTGGGAGAAACCAGCCCGGCGGCCCCTAGAACCGAGGCGGCCTCGGCCTGTGGGAGGGGGAGTCAGTGTGTCCTCAGGGCCGGCCGTCCCTCTGCTTGCTCAGGCAGAAAGTGCGGGAGCAGTGGGGAGAGCCCGCAGCCCTGCAGGCCAGAAACACTGACGCATCCCAGGTATTTCCCTAAGGATCAGGAGGCTAGCGGGGACCAGAGCTGAGTCTTCAGTCAGCCAGCCAAGCACATGTAGGAAGCACCTACTGTATACAGGAACCGCGCAGGCTGCTGTGTGAGGGGAGGGGAAGGACGGCTCCAGGAGCTGTGTCTCTCCCTGGGGGAAATGGGCGTGACCGAAGGAGGACACGTGGGGACACACGAGGGGACGGTCGAGGGCACAAACGAGGGGACGGTCGAGGGGCCGGTGCTCTCACCGGCTTCCCGGGGCCGGCAGTGGCTGCTGGGGCTGGGCAGCATGGAGGGGAAAGGAGGCAGAGCAGAGAAATGGAGCAGAGGGAGGGAGGCTGGCAGGACCCGGGGGACGCTCAGGCGGCCCAGCATGGAGACCCTGAGGCAGGGAAACGAAGGGGGACCAGCCCGTGAGAACAGGCAGAGGCTGGTCCCTTGGAGCTGCTGCAGAAGGGGGTCCTGGGGCAGAGACCCAGGGTAGGCAGGGCAGTGGGGAGCCCCCAGCGCAGAAGGGGCTCCGTAGGGAGGCTGAAGACCTGGGGAAACCAGCAAGAAAGGGGTTCCCCTGTGACTGGGGTGGGGAGCCCCTGTGGGTTTCTCTGGCTGGCTCTGGCTGGTAGCAGGGACAGAACCCAGGGCTGCTGCCATGTGGGATGGATCATTCCAGAAACTGCCGTCCGGCCTCCCAAACGGTCACTGCAGACAGCACCCTGACTTCCTGCGGGTCTGAAGACGCAGATGGTCTCCTGGGCCGGTTCCTGGCTGGCCACTGTGGGCCACGGGACCTGACCTGTGGGGGCGGAAACTCTCTCAGGGTAGTAATGTCAGAGCTGAGTTTTCGTCGATCTTTAGAAGTTATTTTATTAGCAAAACGTGTTTATTCAGCAATAGGAGAGGGATTGCAACTCAGGACAAGCCAGCTATGGAGGACCACGGACGCGCCTGGAGAAGCGAAGGGGAGGTCAGCTTTTTTTAGGTTTTAAGAGGAAACTGGGGAAGGTTGTTGGAAATAAAATTTCCCCGAAGAAGAACAGGAGTCTGAGGTCGTGGTGGTTTCTCGTTGGCCGCCGTGGTAGTTAGAGCCTTGTTGCTCAGGGAGAGACCTTCTTCTGGCCTCTCAGAAGGGCAGATACACTCCTATGTGAAGAGAGTCCTCCCTCGTGAGGGGAGAATTACCGTCCTCCTGCCTGCTGGTCCGCAGGCTGCTGCGCGGGGCTCACTGCGAGAGCCCCTCGGGGTTTCAGGCGAGGTGTCCTTCGCTCGTTTTCGCACGTTGAATTGCAGGACCCGCAGCCTGGATCTGGAGAAGGGCTCCTCCTGCCAAGACTTGGTGCTCCAGGTTCCCTCCACCTGAAAACACAGCTTTCCCAAGGAAACTCTCATTGGCCAGAATGTTCTAAAGCGAAGTAGGGAGGACCAGTAATTTATGCAGACATTTTTTTGAGAGTTCCCAGACTCAAGAAATCACCTCTCTTAGACCTTCCTAAGACCTTGGACGCGTCTTGC